GAGGTATTTGTTGGTCTCACACCCATGAGGGTGGCTGCTGCAGAATTGGCTGAGAAACAGTTGTTGGGGAGGAGGTAGTGGTACTGGGGCCCTTGAGCACTGCTGGTGGGAACGTGCTGTGGGGAACCTGCATGTGGAGAAGAGCGTGGTGAGTCCTCACGGAATGCAAACTACAGTTCTGGACGACCCAGCAGTCCTGGAACCCGCATACTCAGAAGGATTGAGAACAAGATCTTGAAGATGCGTCTGCACACCCATGTTCACAGCAGCACGATGTGCAGCAGCCAAAATATGGAAGCAACACAAGTGTCTACCCACAAATAGATGGATAAACAACACGTGGTCTATCCACCGTAGGGAGTATTATTCGGCCTTGGAGGAAGGAAATTCTGGCCATGCTGCAGGCTGGAAGCATCTGGAAGACCCTGGGGTGGGGGTGTGGGAATAAACCAGCTACAGAAAGACAAACACTGGACAGTCCCACCTGCGTGAGGTCCCTCAGGCAGTCCACCCCCCCCAGAGACATAAAGGAGATCAGTAGGCACCAGGGTTAGGGTAGGAGGGTGGGGATTAATGTTTGATGGGACAGAGCTTCAATTTGGGAAGATGGAAAGTTCTGGAGATGGATGGTAGTGACGCCTGTGTAACAATGTGAATATACCTGCTGCCACTGGACTGTGCATACGGAAAATGGTTAAATGGGCAGATTTTATGTGATGTGTCTTTTACCACAATTTAAAAAGGGAGACCTGGGCAGCCAGGGTGGCTCAGTGGTTTAGCACTGCCTTCAGCCCAGGGCCTGATCCTGGAGTCCCGGGATCGAGTCCTGCGTTGGGCTCCCTGCAGGGAGCCTGCTTCTCCCTCTGCCTGTGTCTCTGCCTCTCTCTCTCTCTCTCTCTCTCTCTCTGTCTCTCATGAATAAATAAAATCTTAAATAAAATAAAATTAAATTAAATTAAATTAAATAAAAAGGGAGACCTTCCAAGGATGACATTGCTTGAGGAGTCCATGAGCAGTAGTGGTGTGTTCCAGAAGCTTCGGAGAGCCACCGATACACTTCACAGCTCCTGGTCCAGCCCGCAGGCAGATCCTGACCCTTAAGTCAATCAAAATCATTGGCTTGATTAGCAGTAGGAGTGACTTGAAAATATAGAGGAAAAGCTTACTCTAATATAGATGAAAAATGATCACGTTTTCATTTGTATTTGTGTCTTCCTAGAATATCTTTAGGATGTTTTAAGTTTGCCTCTGGATCCAGAATGTCAAAGTAGATTTTAAGAAACCTATTAAGTAATCAGTACAGTTAATTTATTAACTTTAAACCAGGCTAGCTTGCTCATGTATTTATTATTGATTCCACAAATGTAGCCCATGTCTGGTGTGTGCCAGGCCCTGTGCTCAGTGCTAGGAATGCAGAGATGGCCATTTTTCAAGCTTTAGGGAGGGGACGCAGAGGGGAAAGCAGATGTGAGCACCAGAGGGCGGCCTGCAGCAGGGAGAATGTGTTGGGGTACAGGTGGGGTGTTGTCAGGGGGCTTTATTAAAGGGGTGGGTCTCAGGGGCTCGACCAGAAAGGGTGGGTAGGAAGTCATAAGACAGAGACTCGAATGATCTGTGCAGGATGCTCGGCACCTGGAGGACTTATGTTTAGCCAAGGAGGCATCAGTGGCCTGCTGGATTTTGGAAAAATAAATGACAACATTAGCAGTATTAAAAAAACACTGGCAGTCTCCCCTGAAAAGGGAAAGAAATTCATCACTCTGATTGAAATTCAGGCTGTTGGCCATCCTTCCAGATGACGCTGAGATTTGCAAGACTCCCAGATGAGACCGTGTACCTGCTGTATTCTAAGAAGCGAGTCAAAAGAGAAAAGAAAGTAAAACTTGCTACCGACAGCAAAGTTGTGGTTCTGAGGCCTAGCGCTTGCTGCCTACTGACACTTTCCTTCTGACTCACTTCCTTACTCAGAGAAAATAGTTTGGAGAAGGACAAGAACCACCTCGCTCCCTGGTACTTCTTCAAAGAGGACAACCGTCTGTTTTTTTTTTTTTAATAAATTAATTTTTATTGGTGTTCAGTTTACCAACATACAGAATAACACCCAGTGCTCATCCCGTCAAGTGTCCCCCTCAGTGCCCGTCACCCATTCACCCCCACCCCCCGCCCTCCTCCCCCTCCACCACCCCTAGTTCGTTTCCCAGAGTTAGGAGTCTTTATGTTCTGTGTCCCTTTCTCATATTTCCCACACATTTCTTCTCCCTTCCCTTATATTCCCTTTCACTATTATTCATATTCCCCAAATGAATGAGAACATACACTCTTTGTCCTTCTCCGATTGACTTACTTCACTCAGCATAATACCCTCCAGTTCCATCCACGTTGAAGCAAATGGTGGGTATTTGTCGTTTCTAATGGCTGAGGAATATTCCATTGTATACAGAGACCACAGCTTCTTTATCCATTCATCTTTCGATGGACACCGAGGCTCCTTCCACAGTTTGGCTATTGTGGACATGGCTGCTAGAAACATCGGGGTGCAGGTGTCCCGGCGTTTCATTGCATCTAAATCTTTGGGGTAAATCCCTAACAGTGCAATTGCTGGGTCATAGGGCAGAACTTATTAAACTCAACAGCAAAGAAACAAACAATCCAATCATGAAATGGGCAAAGGACATGAAGAGAAATCTCACAGAGGAAGACATAGACATGGCCAACACGCACATGAGAAAATGCTCTGCATCACTTGCCATCAGGGAAATACAAATCAAAACCACAATGAGATACCACCTCACACCAGTGAGAATGGGGAAAACTAACAAGGCAGGAAACCACAAATGTTGGAGAGGATGTGGAGAAAAGGGAACCCTCCTGCACTGTTGGTGGGAATGTGAACTGGTGCAGCCACTCTGGAAAACCGTGTGGAGGTTCCTCAAAGAGGACAACCGTCTGAGTGCAGAATTTGCGGGGCTTCAGTGGTAGGACTGAGAGGATGCGATGCCAGAGAGACATCTTCGGAGGTGGGTGCTTGACCCCTCCAGAACCTTCCAATGTACAGAAAAGTCGTCCTTTTGCACAGGTGTGCAGAATGAAGCTTGAGGCCTACAGAATGCTCATAGAAGATCTGGAAAGGTTTCACTGGGAAGAAAGAATCGAAGCAGACCTTTGAGTTAGCAGAATGTTGTGACCTCCGCTCCACTGAACACCTGTCCTGCTCTAGGCCCCGTGTTGCGGGCGCACAGGTAAAAAGCTGTGTCCCGGAAGCCTGCACAGTCTGCTCAGGGTGTAAATAAAGTTAATGGAGTAAACCGATCATTTGCAAACAGCGGAGTAACACCTGGGGGATGCTGATCATGTGTTAGGCTCCGTGCTCAACAGTTCTTGTGTTATTTTCCTTAAACTGTATAATAATCCCACAGGTTGGATTGTGTCATCCCCATTTCACAGACAAGGGAAGTTCAGAGCAGCGGGGTGGTTTGTTCCAGGTCACAGAGCTAGGAAGTGACACAGCAGGATGCTGACCCCAGGGCCTTGACCGTGGCCACTCACCCAGGGATGGCCAGCTCAGGCTGCATGTTAGCAGAGTGCCCTGGGACCCCCCAGACCGACCGAGTCAGAATTTCAGGGGTGGCCAAGGCATCAGGGTTGCCTGAAAGATCCTCGTCCCTGCCTCCTCACCCCCAATGCTGTGCAGGCTGGAGCAGAGAGGAGGGCTGGGGCTTTGCCCAGGACCCTGGTGTAGCATTGTGATGAGACCCCCAGTCTCCAGGCTAACCACATGAGCAGGGATTGGTAGGAAGTGCAGCCAGCTGCTGAGCTCCTGCAGAAAGCTGGCTCGCCCAGCAAGGAGCCCGGAGACTGCTCTGCTGGGAAGGTTTGCAGAGCCTGGTGCTGGGTTGAGAGCCTGTTCAAGTGGCCCAGGTAGGCCCACCTCTGAGGGCAGAGCCGCAGCCAGGTCTGTTGGGGGACTGTGTGAGTTTATTTTATTTTATTTATTTTATTTTATTTTATATTTTATTTTATTTTATTATTTTATTTTTTTGGCTGTGTGAGTTCAAAGTGTGATTTACCTGTGCAGAGGGTAGCTGGAATATCTAGCCTGAGAGAAATGGTAAGAAACATCTGGACAGATTATTGGGTGATCAAGTAGAGAATGCCTACAGAGAATTCGTCATGATACGAAAAACGTTAGATTTTTAGAAAGCAGCGTGTACAATCGCACATGCAATAAGCCCAGGGCAAGAAAACAGGCACGGTGTAGAATGTGTTCACAGCAGAGAATTTTATTCAAACCTCTCACATTATCATCTGGTCACATCTCCCTTCCAGGCCCCTGCAATTCCACTCGCTTGAGAGGACATAAACCCTGCAAAAAGTAGCACACCATTGCTGAGAGCATTTTTGATCCTCGGAGGGCTTCGTTAGGCAGAGCATCGTAATAGGAACACACTCACATTTTAAATTTGGCTCTCAGAAGGAGCCTACCTGCTAGGCAAACAGATCCTGGAGGTAGTATTGCCATTTCCTGTTGCCTAATGTCACCATTTTTAACCCTAAATATTACAGAGAGCATGGGGCAGCCCTGGGAAAAGCAGCAGTCTGTCCGTGTGGGCACAGCAGGTGCAGCTACGGGTAAAGCGACAGGTGTGTACCTCCTCACAAAGCAGACCCTGTGCCTCCTTGAGCATTTTGGGGATTCCCTTTTGGAGACCATAGCACCAGCGTTGAACAGAGGATGAGACAAGGGCATCAGGAAGGGGTCTTCCAAACTCTGTTGTCACCATCATGAGCTCCAGATGTGGGACATAATTTAAGACCATGCAGGGGAGCTGGGGCTGGGCTCCAGGGGGCACACAGGCTCTGAGTGCTCCCCCACTCTGCCCACCAGTCCGGGCAGGTCCCCAGGTACCCCTCTGTCCTAGTTAGGCTCCAGTGTCAGGGAAACCACCGACTCACACGCAGCTTGGTGCCTTGCATGGTGCATTTCTCCACGAGGCATTCACTACAGTGACTTCTCAGAGCAGGAAAGCAAAGTGCGTTTCAAAAGCATTTAGACATTCACACCTGAGGAAGAAATTCTGGAGGCAATTTTGAGAAATTTAGAAGGAATGTGTTTCCTATAATAAACTAGAGAACTCTGTTGTCTTTGACGGAAGGTACCATCTATGCAAATGACGCAGGATTGTATAAACTGGAAAGCACTGTGTCGCAGACAGAGCCGAGTATGGCACACAATAAGGCACCCCCCCAGAACCTGCCCTGCAGCCCCCCGTGCCCGCTTTCCCAGGTTGGTGATCACAAGTCTGCGCAGCAGGTGGGGAGAAAGCAGACTTTCCGCATTTGCCAGCTGAAGCAGAGTGAAAGCAGACGGCTCACCACGACCAGACAGCGAGAGCAGTGCAGTGCCCCTCTCAGCCTTCACCTCCCAGACTGACGGGCCCATGAGGTCACCTTCCTTCTGGGGTGAGGGGGGTCAGTAGCTGCCTGCTTCCAGGTCAGCCGTTCAGCCTGCATGGTCGTGGGTGGGGAGGGGGCTCTGTTGCTAATCTCATCTTCTGTCCGATCCCATAGAGCAGCTGAAGGAAATCTGCAGACCATCTTCGCCGCAGGGGTGCTCAGGTGTGGGTCCTGATCCAGGTGGCGCAGCCCTGAAGGGTCCTCCCCCCGCGACCCTCAGGGGCGCTGGCTAACGCTCAGCTCCCGGCCCTTCCTGTGCTCCGGGGCCCCGACGGCCTCAGGAGTAGGAGTCTCTGATGTCCCCTGGGGCCTCGGTGTCCCTCCCCCGGCCTCTGAGTGTGTTGAAGACCTTGCGGTAGGAGTGTCTGAACGTGGGGTTGGAGAAGCAGTATAGCACCGGGTTCAGGACGCTCTGCAGGTAGGTGAGGCTGCTGGCCACGTCGGACACGTGTACCATCGGCCCCAGGGCCCTGCAGCTGCCGGCCCCCTGGAAGATGGCCATCAAGATGCGCACCAGGAAGCTGGGCAGAAAGCACACGGCGAACAGGACCACGACCACTGTCACCAGCGCCCGGGCTCTCTGCAGCTTGGGCTGTTTGTCCGGGTCTCGCAGGCGCTTCTGGAGGGTCCTGATGATCCTGGCGTTGCAGAACAGGAGGAGGCCGAAAGGAAAGATAAACTGCAGGAAGAACAGTGCTTCCTGCCAAACGATGCTGAAGGAGAGGTCCACCCCGGGGTCCGGGTTGGGGCAGGCGGCCTCCGAGACGAACAGGCTCTGGTGGGTGAGGCCGAGCAGCAGCAGCCAGACGAAGCCTGACACCCCCCAGGCGGCCCGGCAGGACAGGAGGTTGACCTTCAGCCGAGGGTGGACCACTCGGAAGTACCGGTCTAAAGCCACAGCCGTGAGGAAGGCGATGCCCACCCCGCGGCTGAGGACCTGCAGGAAGTGCAGGGTCTGGCAAGACACATGCCCAAAGCTCCACGTCTTGTGTCTCAGATAGAAGGCGGCATGGAAGGGCAAGCAGAAGGTCAGCAGGAGGTCGGCCACGGCCAGGTGCAGCAGGTAGACGGCGTAGGGCTTCCACACCTTCAGGCGGAAGAAGAAGGTCCACAGCGCCACGATGTTGCCCAGAAGGCCCAGGACGCACTCGAGCGCCAGCAGCGTGGCCACCGACACCTCCACCGCCCTGCTGCGCCCGGAGCAGTTGGCGGGGACCACGTCGCCCATTCTGCCGCCGGAGTCGTCTTGAACGTAGCAAAGCTCAGAGAACCCGGGCTTCTGGCTGGGCTCCTTCCCACAAAATGAAAGAAACAGATGTTTTCCTGCCACAGGACGTACGAGTTCTGCATTTTCTCAATAAGAAAAAGTACTGAACCAGCATCAGCATCAAGTCAAAAGCAAACTGAAATTTGGGGAAAGAGGATCAGTGGGGGAGGGGAAAACCCTTGCAGTTCATTCTGTTTTGTTTTGCCCTGAAAAGGGGAAATTGCGTTTCGCTTCCCATCATCTGGCGTTTTGCTGGAACGATGATGTCCTGACCGTCTGGGTGAGCACAGGTATGCCTCTGCGGCGGGCGCCCTGGAACCTGAGAGGCTCCATCGCACCAGGACTTTCTGGCTTTATACAGTGAAGATAATGATGAAAACCAAAGGGTTCTCTAGCTTGACTATGCCCCGTGGGAGGTGCTCCTCTTCCAGGGGAAGGACACTTGCTGAGACTCCTCTGCATCGGGCTCCATGTCACACATGGGTGCACTGATCTGCTCCCTGACATCACAGAGGATGCTCCGGGTGGCCCAGTCATCTCACTCACGCTTGACCATTTTCAATTGTCTTCTTATTTTGTCAAATTTTATCTTCTGTGGAGGAGACCTTCCCTTCCCTCCTACATGACCTTGTTGTGATCTAGACCTATGGGGCTCTGTTGACCCTGAAAGCAGAGTGAAACTGATGGCTGGTCAAGATGCAGAGAGTCCACCAGAAAGGTCATGAGGTAGTAAATGAATTCAATCATTCCTTCCCATTGTGGACTATGCTTGACCTTATTTCTGGCCCATCTCGGCCTGAACTCATCTGGGTCCTTACTCATTCTCAACCCTGACTCACCTGAGTCCTGACCCACTGTCAAGCCTCACTCACCTAGGTCCTGACCCACTGTTGACCTTCACTCACCTGGGTCCTGACCCACTGCTGACATTCACTCACCTGGGTCTTGACCCACTGTTGACATTCACTCACCTGGGTCCTGACCCACTGTTGATCTTCACTCCCCTGAGTCCTGCCCCAATATTGACCTTCACTCATCTGGGTCCTGACCAACTGTTGACCCTCATGTATCTCAGTTCTGTTTAGTGTGGTTTGAGCTCTGGAGTCAAATATATTTTACTTCTAACTCTGGTTTCTCCACTTAGCAGCAGTGTGATTTGGGGGAAGCAGAAGAATGTCTGTGTACCATCCTCAACAGTGAGAAGTGAAGGTGACAGTACCTCCTTGCAGGGTCATGACCAGTGTCTGAGGTTCTATGACAGGTGGAGTCCCTTCACGCCATACCTAGGGCATCATGGATGCTGGATCCACTTGCAGTTGTCATCGTCAGCCTCATGTGATGCTTAGACTTTCAAAAAAGCTCCTCTTGCTCCCAATGTGGTGCTTCACCTTTGCGCCGACCATCAGTTCTAGGGTGCTCTGATGCCTCTCCTTCTGAGACCTGACCTTAGACCTAGAAATGTCTCAGGAATAATAGTTACTAAAGTTTGCACTCACCATGTTATCACAGCGAACTGTGCAATAATGAAGTGTGGTAGGTATAATTCTAAGCTCTATTTTATGGATGAAGAAGTGGAGGCCCAGAAATGTTAGGTAATTATTCAAGGTCACAGGTCAATAAATGGCAGGACCAGGATCCTCCCAGCCCAGATTCCAACAAGAGCCAGAGGTGCTGACCACACCGCTCTGCTGCCTCCCAAACAGCTGCAGCTCACTCCCGTGTCATAAAAAGTCCATGTTTCTGGAAGCCCACCAAGGCCATTGATTTACCTGATGTTTCAGGTGATTTGACTTCTTGCTTTAATTTTATCAGTTTTCCCTTCCAGCTGGAACACCAGCCCACATATCACCCATCTCTGCTTCATGCAGGTTCACCTGTGTCTTTGTTTCCCAAGAAGGTACATTTGGAGAGGCCTCCAAGCATTCAGACCGTGGGAAGGTCCCAACTGGCACCTTCATAGTGATGCCTTCTATGGACGAGGACTGGCCATTGGCATGCCCATTGTGAATGGCTCATCTGGAGCAAGAGAGAATGCAATACAGCCGGTTCCAGACGAAGGGTGCCCGGAGGCCACGTGCCCCATCTCTGTGAATGACACCCAGAAAAGCTAACTCTTTAAAAAAAAAAAAATAAGCACCTAACTCTTCAGGAATGCAAGTTACTCAAATATATTTCTCACAACACACTGAAGACTTTGACAGATTTTAAAAGTTACCCCTTAAGTGAAGATTTCAGCTTATACCAAAAACCTTCTAAATTATAGATATTCTAACTCAATAGGTAACAGAAACATTAATAATTACGTATTTTCCTTTTTCAGTATAAGAAATAAAAATAACAGAATTTAAAACTCTGCTTCTTCAGTAGGCACTTATCTTCCTTCTTTCTAGAAGATTGAATTGTTCTTTACTTATTATCTTTTAAAGTTACAATGTTTGAACTTCTCCCTAAGGGATCTTGTCTTATTAAATTTTATTATCCCCAGGAAAAACTCTATATTCAATCACTCTTACTATTTCTTCAATGCTCTGCCAATTAAGGAAGCTCCTCTGTTCTTACAGAGAAGTTTTTATGCTTTATTTACATGCCTTTTCTTGAATTTAAATGAAAACTGAATCACTGCTTCAAACCAACACACATATTTAATTCTATTTTTCCTTTCCAGTTTTTCTTTTTATGTCTGAAGATAACCAGATGGAAGACTTTATAAAGACTGAATAATTACTCTGAATTAGATTTTCCTATCACTTGCTGTGAGGTTACCCAGTGGTAGGGTTCAGAGTGACAGGGAAGTCCCCCCAAGACTGCTTCCTCTCAGACTCCAATTGTAAGTCAAGGGCCTCCAAGACCACCCCCAGGTTTTATAATTCTCTAGAAGGACCCATTGTTCTGCTCAAAGTCCATTTTGTTACAGAGAAAGGACACAGGTTGGGATCCACCGAGGGAAGGAGCAGGTGCATGGGACAGGGTCCAGGGAAGTAATAAGTGTAGAGAGGTTCCTTTGTCATCCCCACTGAGTCAGGATAGGGTGGCTTTCCCAGAATCCATATGTGACAACACACACCCAACATTGTCAACTGGGGGAGCCCCCAGCCTTGTTGTCCAACACATCAGTGTGCTTGACTTTCCATGAGGCCCATGTCAGGCTCTTCCCTCTGGGGGGCCACCTGATGTGTGTGGCCCAAAGTCCCTGCCCCTCATCACAGTACTACTATGTGGCTGGCCCAGAGCTCTTGAGGAAAAGACATCTCTAGCCAGCATGACCTTCCAAGGGCTCAGAGACTACCTCCCACCAGCTGAGGCCAAAGGTCACAGCTATTTTGGGCAAAGTTAAACACTTTACTACACATTTCTTTATTCAAAAAAATTTAGAATGTGTCGTGTTGTTCCTTTTGTGGTAGGGATACAAATATTTATAATGTTAATAATATTTCCTAATTTTAAGGACTTCTATCCGGCAGGGAAGGCTAAGGAATACACACAGATTTGTAAGGAATGCATGATGAAATTAAATAGTAGGTACAACTGAAATGGGATGGGGACAATGGGGTCAGGGAGTGAGGAGAAAGATTATAGTCAGGGATGCTGGAATGAGGCCTGGGGCAGGGACAGTGTGGCCGGGGGCAAGGGGCCCATGGCTGGGGTTGTTTTCTTAACCTTGGCTACTGGCTGTCCTAGAGACTCTCAAAAGTTCACTACATCTTGCTTTCTTTTCTTGGTGCCATATCCAATTGCCAGTCCCTGCAACGCTGCTTCCCCTCCTCCTGAAGAATATCTACCTTACCCCAGTGGGGTATGGCTCCTGGTCTAAGACTTGGTGACTCCTCACTTCTCTTATTTTCACCTCCCACTCCGGGGAGGGTGAGCCTTCATTAGGGGAAGGGACCAATGGTCATTTCCTAGAAAAATGGTATTGTTTTAGAAAAAGCAGCTGGAAGTGCAATCTTAGAGCACAAAGTCACATGAATGTGACTGTGATAATCCTGGAGTACGCATCTGAATGTAGGGTTTCCATAAAAGAATTTTAGCAACCGCAGAATATCTCTATAATGAGAATACCACCAAAGGAGTGAAGGACAAATGTAACCAGTACTTCAGGCATAAGAAATCGCTATGAACACAAGTTATTGTTATAGAAAAATGTTAGTCCTACAAAAATAAAATTTTGAGTTATTATGCTCAAACTCCAACACCAGTCAAGTATAGAAAGATGCTTTGTAGCAAACAAACTAACAACAACAACAAAAAAAAAAACCCTGCCATTTTTTCTTTGGCCCATGTTAAAATTAAACAGAGTTTCAAGTTCAGAATCATGGGAAGCCCCTAACTCTTCCAAGGATGCCCAAGAGGAAGATGTGGATGGAAGCAAAACTGACAGCAGCCTTGATGAATGGGACCAGGTTTTCAGAAGTGTTGTTTCATTGTTGCTGGAGAAATGGATTGAACATATCAAGAAATGGAATTTTTAAATAGATTTTTGTGAACCTGATGATTTTAAGTATGCTATTCATTTGTTTGTTCATTCAATAAATCTGTGGCACATAGACCATGGTCCAGTCCATTTATGACCCTTGAAGAATCTTTACAGAATGATTTTGAATGTTATTTGATTATATGTCTGATAGATTCTCAATGCATAAAAATGGAAAACATGGAAATGCACAATGCAAACGGAAGACACGAGCTGTGACATCCCCAGTGGGGACACACCTGCATTTTTAAATATAAATGGTGTTGGGGTGTCTGGGTGGCTCATTCAGTTAAGCGTCCAACTCCTACTTTTGGCTCAGGTAATGATCTCAGGGTTCTGGGATTGAGCTCTGCATTGAGCTCAGTGCTCAGCACAAAGTCTACTTGAGATTCTTTCTCTCTCCCTCTGCCCACCCCCACCCCCCGCCACAGCTCACATGCTCTCTCTCTCTCTCAAATAAATAAATCTTTAAAAAAAAATGGTGTCAAACATAGCTATTATTTGTGCTTGTT